GTTTGTTAATTTGCGGTGGATCAGATAGTGGAAAAACTAATATGATTCTCAATCTTCTTCTTGGTAATAAAATCCAACGTCTATACAAGGAGAAGAAAGGGGAGCGATATATCAAGAATGACGATCTAGTTTTAATCGGAAAGCATATCTATGAGCCCAAATGGGTATTGGTGAAAAACTGTGATGAAATTTTTGCAAAGGGTCCAAAACCATATGGGAGAATGTAACATTTCGTGCATTAAAAGCGAATGCAATTCCAGACATAACTAAATTTTCTTCAGATAGGAATACAGTTGTAGTCTTCGAGGATCTTTGTGCTGAATCAAAAAAAATTCAGGATCGAATTGTTCCATATTTTATTAGTGGCCGACATCAGGGCGTATCAAGTATATATGTGAGCCAGAAGTATACACAAACTCCTAAAATTATTCGCGAGAATATCACGCATTTAGCCCTTTTTCGAGGGCGGGAAGTAGGGACGACATCCATAGAGTCGTGCGTCAATATACGGATGATCCGAAAAAGGCATCTAAGATTATTGACAAACATTTGCGAGATCGGAATTTTGTGGTCTTCGATTTTACTAAGGCAACTGATGATCCTCTTGCAATTAGATTAGGTTGGGATGCGCCCTTAAAATTGGATGAATAAGGTTTGCTTTTGCCCTTTCGCATGTTATATTATGTATTCGTTACAAATTGTCTCACATCACTTTTATTAAACACATTGACATCCGCTTAAATAAAGTAATTTATAAGAAATCAATATACACAATATAACATTTTTATTAGTTCATTCATATCACATAAGCAATGATATACAGTTATACACCCTAACACATTAATACATTTATATTTTTCTGATGCATATTCAATATACAGTATATAATACATAAAAAATACTAAATATGCTTATTGATTGTGCATATGTAACGTAAAAAAATTGCTGTAGCTATAAAAAATAATATAGAAATGGGAAATCAGTTTCTTTACACATTTGTAAAAAAAAAAAATTCTATACATTAGGATCTGATTTCTTCTTTGGGGAGATGTGTTCGGAGAGTTGTTTGAAAAAGCTAAATTGTCTTCTTGATATATATAGTCACGTCTTCGCCTCAACTTTGCATGTTTGATTTTGAGATCTGTGCAATAATCCGTTAACTTGTTCAATCGGTGCTATAAGAAATTTAATCTGATAAGTACGGTGAAATACATATATTGGTAAGAGAGTGAGTGAATAAGTGAATAACAAACCTCCAAAGAACGTAACATTGTATGCACTGCTTCGTACGCAGGCAACTCTTTTGATGAGGCAGGCAAAGAAACCTTATCAATCATTCCGAAACGATAAATTCCTGAAGTTCGGACATCCATCGCATAAAGATTCATTTGTAAGCCTGCAATAGAAAAATGTTGGCAACCTTCTATCAGAAATTTATATACATCTTAAAATATATTTACCAATTACTTGGCATCCAAATACAATGACTTTCATAATCTGTTGTTGATAGACCAGAAAAGGTCTTCATTACTCTGTTTATCATGTCTCGCATTCCAACCATTAATTTCAGCTTATCTGTCCAAATTTTTTTGGGGCATCCCGCTGGAAGTCCTCCTGAGACTTCACAAATGAAGCCTTCTAAAGCTGGTCCTGTTGGTAAAACTATTATAATATCGGTTTTTTGTCCAGCACGTGCACGCTCATCATTAGGATCTTGTTCTTGTCTGCGTCTTTCCTGGCTTGCAACAAGCTGTTGCTCAGACCTGAAGTTCCAAATATGATGTTAAATAAAATTAGATTAATAAACCTAGCCTGCAGAAATAAGGAAGAACCTTTAAAAATTACCAGTGTTTTTGAAATTTTTCTTGATTTGGATCCAGGCTCATCCTGAAGGCAGGGGCAACAAAACAAATCATAAGTTCTCCCTCGTTAATTGGTAGTTTGAGGTGTTCAATGTACGACTTTAATATCATAAGATGGGCACTTAGAATAGGTAATGCTTGCTGGGCTTTCAAGTCCTGTTTGGTAAAAAAGAACATGTAGAACAAAGAATTAATAGAACGAACGTGACGACAAAACATGTAACATTGTAATTACCTCCATATTATCAAAAAAATCATATTCGGATTGTTCAAGATTGACCATTTTCCATCCAATATCAAGTCGATTCCGTCAATCATAAAAGTGTCCCAAGTTTTTCCTTCCGAATTTCCAGACTTTGGAGGTGGTGGTGCAGGTTCTTCCTCCCCTCCAATATAAGATAAGTCCACATTATCTACGAGTTTATCAAAATATTCGGGATCTTTCGTATAGTTATCTTGTACATCTTGTGGAGGACTTGAAACTGATTCTTCGCCAACATGATCTATATAGACATTTTCTTTAAACTGAGATGGGGTGATATCACGAGTGAAAAAATGTTCTATTTTTGTTCGTTTCGTGTTTGTTTGTTCTTTGTGATCGTCCTAAAAGATAAATACAATATAGTAAGTTCTGCTGATACTTACTCAACTAGATAAAAAAAATGTCATCGATACTTTTTCCTGATCGCTCTTCTTTGATGATTCGGTAATGAAAGTTCCACCGGATATAGCTCCGTTATTTATAGCATTTATAGTCCCACCATCTATAAATGTCGGTTGGTGGTAATTAATATGATCATGTGATCGTCCACTTTCCCATGCCCTGGCTATATGATAATCTAGTCTAGTGTCCTGAAATGAGGATTTAGTTAATTAATATTCTTGACGAACTTATCCAAAATTCCTCTTCCGATTAACCATCCCTAGAAGCTTTTGAACGTCAAAGCCATCTGTACTTCGTACTAGAAAGCCGTTGCCACGCAACCAAATCTTCACTTCTATCTGTGCTTCATAGCAGTACGACCTAGAAGGCCGTTGCTGTCGTAGCAGTACGACCTAGAAAGCCGTTGCCACGCAACCAAATCTTCACTTCTATCTGTGCTTCATAGCAGTACGACCTAGAAGGCCGTTGCTGTCGTAGCAGTACGACCTAGAAAGCCGTTGCCACGCAACAAAGTCTTTACTTTAATGACAAAAGAATCTATACTTGCCTTTCTATAGTTATCGAGTAATGTCTGCGCTTTTTCGCGCCTGCAACCCGCTCCAGAATTAACAATGTTCTCTAAGCTCTTAACGTAACAATCTAACTTCTGATCTATTTGTTCCATCTCGCACTCGTTCAAAAAATCAAGGATGTTCCATTCGGACAATTTATTGTCGAAATATTTATGTACCCGCTTTGGACATCATGAGCAAAAAAAAATCGAAAGTTAAATCATGTCGAAATACACAAAATTAAACTGTATTCAACCTACCATTTTTTTTGGTTTATCGGTGTAGTTAGGGTTGGGAACGGTCCGATCCGGTCCGATCTTTAGCAGTCTTTTGAAAAAGATTGGATTGAGACCGAGACATAAGATCATCGGTCTTTTAATTTAGACCGGTCTTTTAGACCGTCGATCTAACAAAAAAAATTTTTAAACAAATAA